TGTTGTGATTCTGGCAGGTGTGGGAATTGTGGGATTTGATTTGTTAATTTAGAGAAGAATAATTGTCGCAGTGCAGTAGGAAGTGCATCTCTGTCTCTGTTTCTCCCCGCTGGCAGTGGGAGCACAGCCTGTCCTCTCTGGGCAGCCAGGTCTGCCTAAGTCGTTTCTATGGCCAGCCAGTGGTCACTGAGCCTGTACTTCGTCGGGGTCTGTTTCTTTTTGCTGTTTCTTACCTTGGCCAAATATGTGGCTAGCTTGTACTGTCTGTTTAAGGTTCTGTAGCATTTCAGTTTATGTTGTGTTTGTGTGTGTGTGTCCCAGTGTGTGAGATATTGCTGTTTGATCTGTGCTGTGAAGTGGTTGAGTCTGGGTTGCGGTGCTCTAGCAGTGCTGTCCTGAGGCTGGCTGGTGTCGGTGTGGCTTGGGCCAGTGAGCCTCAGGGCCAGCTGGCTCAGAGGGCTCTTTGTTGGGCTCAGCTCTTGGCTCAGCAGGGCCTTGTGGTGGTAGGAATTTTGGTCGCTGCTTTTTAGGTGTAGCCAATACTTTATTACTCTCTTTTGTATATTGATAAGTCATGGGTATTAGGCCTAATTAAGCCCTATATGCATTGTGAGGATGTTTTTACAGAACTCCATGTGCAGAGTTTCGAGGAAGTGTTTGTCTCACTTGGTGACAAGGCTCCACAGCCTAAACGTTGTTTCTTTTCTTCCCTTTTCACCATGGAATACATTTTTACTTGTTCCTGTTGATTGAATTATGTCATCCACTTTACCTCCTATGCCACTTTGGAAAAGTTTGCAAAACTGTCCTTTGTGCCAAATCGAATCACATGCTTTCTTGAAATCAATAAAGCGGGCAAAAACTCTACCTCTTGGACTTCTGTTAACATCTGCTCCATTCCCTGCGCTCCTCCACAAGAGCGCACAGGCCTGTTAACGATGATCCATTGAGGGATAAATAAACCCTGGTGAGCCAGCAGTTCTGCTCTCCTCTCCCTACTGGGGCAAATAAGGCAGGATCAGTGCAATATCATGAATGGTAAATCTCTGTATGTGGTCACACCATGACTAAGAAAGCGTTGCTTCTGACTTACATAAGATTTTGGTTAGGTGAAGACTTGAGGAAACGAATCCTTATGTAATCCATGGAGCGCGTGTACCAACTTCCAGACACGATCGGTGAAATGGCCTCCTTTCGTAACCATCCTTGGGTTCTTAAGTCTTATCTAAACCATGCACAGCACTGCCTGCTCGAATCCCAGGCTGGGCTTAGAAATTCTGACCCAGGGGAAAGAAAGCCACTGACTGGTTCAGTGACACCACATCTAAACCTGGTCCTGCTTGGACACGCTTCATCTCAGTCCTGAACAGATTTGTCTCGATTAGCTCTGAGATCAGGGTACAAGGCAGTAACACTTCTGTCACATATACAGTTAAAGTGTATGCAATGACAGAAAAGAGGAAACAAAATACTCTCGTGTCAGGGGTCTGACCCTGGTCCTAGAAAGCCCTAAATTCTTTAGACCTCCCAATCTTTAAACGCAAGTATATTATTGATCAATTAAGGATCTTGTCCTATGCTTCTGAAGAGCCCCACTTTCTGTGCCAGCTTGAATTGGATGAAGTGGTTAGAAAATGGATGGGTGATCTCTAAACTGCTTAATTAAACACATCTTCTGTTTTATTGATCGTGAATTGTTCCAGGGCTTTAGAAATCGACAGGCTTAATGCTGCGTATGAATTTGGAGACCTTTGTCCATTAAGGTTAAAGGATACTCAAGAGTTTAATCCTAGATAATCTCGTAACGACTTAATTCAACATCATAAGCTGCATGAGCATGCGTACTGTAGGTAAAGGTGTATTCTTTTCTGAAAGGAAGAGAGACATAGCTGCGGCCGAGGAGAAGGCTGCACGGCTGAAATGTAGTGTCTCTTTATCTTTCAGCATAGAATAAGCCTTTACCTGTTTTCCTGTTGCGCTATTTTTTACTTCGAAATACCAAAGCAATGAACGGAATGTAACGGTAACGTTTCGCAGTTTACACTCTTTAATAAACCGAGGTCAACCTGAAAACTGCGTCGAGGGCAATTAGGAACATGACCATGATGCAATGCGGCCGGAAATTGCTCTTTGACAGAACAGGCACGCGATTGTGCCAAGAGTAGCTGCATATACGAACGCGTCAACGTCATTTTGCTTCCGTTTTTTGTAAAATGTTTCCCACATTTTTAAGAAGGTGTTTCAGTGATCTATTCCCTTTCTACAGAGAAATTATATGCTGTAAAATGCACGTTTTCAAACTTTGGTTTCAGGTACGTACGGTATATTTCAGTGGTAATATGTCATTGACTCCCGTCAGCATACTTCAAATAAAATGCAAAACTCATTTAAAATGATTTGTATAACAGTTTAATATTAATAAAGAGTGAAGATCATTATATTAGCCGCACATGGTCTGTGCTCGCACTTGTTCGGCCTTTTGATTTGCAGGGGGAAAGGGACTTCAGGTCTATATATTAAATGCACTTCCATTTGTCTTGTGATATTTTCCCCCTACAAATAAAAGCTTGACCCGAAGTGGGTTTGCTATTTAAGTGCGTTGATTACGTGAGCATCAGCTAGCCTGGAGCTTGTCTCTTTTCAAAGACTTAATTAAAGACAAAACTTTCGCTGCGGGCTCTGACCCTGAAGATGATAAGGCTGTCATAAATCTCTCCCAGCAGGTCGGAATGTAGCATTTGTATTCACAATCTTTGAAAAGGGAATATTTGTAATTTACCACCCGATTATACCCCCGTCTTCTAATTTTATGTTCTGCTTCTGTTTCACAGCAACACGCTTTCATATTTTTTTTTAATCTGAAAAGGTGTTCCAGTTCCTTAACTAATAAATAAACCACAAAGGGACTCATTTGAACATTAACCGCAGACTGAAACTTAAACCGTGTTAATAGTCCTCAAAATAAAAGAGTACATTCTGCGTTATTTTTACAGAAAATCAGAATTTGGCATTTAAGTATTTAATGCTAGGATTATCAAATTGTCACAAGAAAGTCAAATGATGAGAGGAGCTCAAAGGGAATTTGTGTTTTATATGTAGCGAATGCGATTGTGCTTTGTTTGTCCATCTTAAAACAAGTGCCAATTTGTGCAAGAAATTTCCTACGCCTACTGGCATGCTATCATTAGGCATTTGAGTTACTGCAAAGATTAATATTGCAGGGTGTCCGACGTAAAAGAGGCTTTATTTGCTATTTAATCGAAGTGCAATATCACGGGTCGTGTGTTTTTTGTTTTCCGTCGTTTATTTTTCTCAGAACAAAAAACGCATTTTAAATTTCGCCTTTAATGGAGCAGCTGCTGTATTAGTCCTGGTCTTTGACTTTTAGTTCCTCATAAAAGAGGAGCCTTTGACCGCAATGAGTAAGACGAGTGAAGCGGGTTGCGTCTCAGTTGATTTCAACAAGGGGGTGAAGACAAGTCATGTTTTTGAGGATATGGAACAGAACATAACCTTTAGGCATTTACCCTAAATAGTAAGGGTGGAACAGAATCCAGCAGTTTTTAGTCTACATCTACCCTGACGCAAAACTGACTTAGTTGCGAACAGAGGCATCCTCAGCGATTGACAGGCTTAAATCTCAAGTAATTGACTCCGTTTGTATCCAAGAGAGTTCGTGGAAACAGGTAAGTTGGAACTTTATCAATTAATTAGAGATTCACTCGAGGGAGGGAGGACGGTACTAGAAAGAAATTTCATTCAATTACCAATAGGAGAAAAGTCAGAGATGTATTTATAGTATTGTAAAAGTGCTGTCCTGTACAAGTGTTTTGCATGTTTATAGAAATTAGAATTTTATTTTGCCAAATGCAAATGGGTTTAGGAATGAGACGAAAGTTAGTGTGTAATGGTCCTGTGGTTATTATTAACGCTTACAAAGTAATTCATAGGTATATAATAAACTTGTTGTCCTGTTAATTATTTCTCAAATTTATTGTGTAATTCTGCTGTTCTGCGGTTCAAACATTTTGCCTTGAGTAACCTATTGTATGATAGCACCGATAGCACGTTAATTGTAATTTAAATTGAATTGAATTTGTAATTGAAGAATTAGAATTCTTTAATCAGTGAATGTTATCAATATTATCTTCAAATATGAACGTGTTTTAAGGGTATTGCATTTTTTTTAGTTTGTGTTTGTGTTTTCATTTAGAAAAGAGGTCTTAAAGACTTGTTTTTAGGAAGGTCACTGTAACATCTTGACTGAAAACGGCAAGCATGGATGCGAGCTGATTTTCTGTGAAGAAGGCCACTTGTTTCCAAAATAAAAATGACAGAGTGCAAGGCAAAACGTTAATTAGTAAATGTCACTTGAAAGGTAGGCTCAAGCGATATGAAGAGACATGAGGAGGCAGTGTTCATCTTGATCCTGGTATATCTGTAACAGGGTCTGGTCCCTAGTGGACGTGCGTGGTTATTGTACCTCAGGTGTGGGGAAAAAAGGGGTCGCGCCACAGCACAAGCACACCAGGGTCCTGACCCGCCCCTCCTGGGGCAGGGCGGTGAGGTGGGCTCGAACCCTGGACCCCGCCGGCGTTAGAGCCGAACAGCGGCTGCACACACACTCTTGCAGGTGTGTGGTCGGGATGTAGATGTGTGGCGGAGAATCTGAAGCCTCCGCGCTTTCACTTCACCAGCGCGTCTTGGGTACAGGGTAGCGAGCGCGAGTGCCCGTTTCCATGAAACGGGGAACCAAGATCAGGAAGTTTCCAAACAAGACCGAAAACTGCGTCGTTGTGTTACACCTTCCTGTGCGAGTCTCTCTGAAGAGCTCTTCTGCTGTATTGTTTTTACTTTCAAGTTTTACACTCCTGCTTTATCCGTTTTTAATTCGATTTTTGGCTTCTAAACAAGTGCCAGCTAGGTTTCATGTTGTGTAAATTATGTTGTATTTTTGGAATACGAAACCAGAACTCTCTTACGGTGTAGTGATACTGTAGCTGAGTAGCTAATTATGGCATTTTTAGTTGCTCGTTTTTGCTCATTTCAAAACCGCATTTCCTTCAATGAGTGAAGCAATTTTATTCCTGTATTTCTGAAGTCTGGCAGGATGGTGAATACTCTTGTGGTTAAGTTAAGAGATTGAGAGTGAATTTACAAAGAAGCCGAAGAACAGTTTTTTTTTTTTACTTGGGTAAGAAATTGTTTGTCAGATAGCATTTATTGCAATCTATAATTGACCTTTGTGTGTAAAGTGGATGGACTGTGCGTATAGGCTAGACCGACTGTGAGGAACTAGTTTGCAGGCAAAATCCACAGCAGATGTTAGTTCGAAGCTAGAAGGGGATTTTAACTGAGATCTCAATAATTATTTCTGATCTCCATGAAAAGAAACATTCCTTTGCATCAGCAGCAGACCAAACAATATTCACCTAGTGCTTTAAAATAAAAGAGAATCTGCAACTTACAGTATGCAGTATATTGAGCATCTTTGGTGAACTCCAACAGCCAGGCTACGTCTGTGATAACTTTCTCAAAATCCAGTTCCTGTTTAAAAGAAACCAACATTCACATTAGAGAAACTGACGGAGAGAAGCTGAGAAGCTGTTCCCAGGTTGTAAAAGAAGGAAATACAATTCAGCAGCCCATCCTAACTGTACTGTAGCAGCAGCACCACTGCCCTACCGGGAAACAGACAGCCAAGATGTGGACGCTCAATGACAGTACCGTCACTGACCCTGAAAACCAGACACCAGTCTCCACTGCAATTACTGCCACAGCTACCAGAAATGCAAAAAGAGGAATGTTGGTTGTCGGAGGCTGTATTTCTGGAGCTCTGTAACTGAGGTGTACATCAGGGACCACGATATGCCATGGTAAGTTGTCTCCATGGAGTGGAGGTGGCTCACATTGTCTATACCATCAAGAGGCTCCTATAAAGGCCGCCAAGCAACATGGGTGCTGTTGTTCTTGTGCCACAAATGACGCTGGTGTAAAACGGCATGTTTTTCATCTGCAGCAGCAAACCTTGAAAACAACCTGAGAACAGGACTACTTCAGTGACATTTTCCAGAATCCTGCCTGGAACATGCAAATGTGAAGAACTTAAAATATTGATCAGTCGCCACATGACGGAAGACATTGTGTACTGAGGAAGACTTCGCCCTCCTGGGCGTCTGGAAACCTTTCTGTAGCAAAAGCCATTTGTACAGACAAGCTGGGTTATTGCATCTAAATGAGATGGGCCCAGGTCGCCTTGGCACGAGACTTCAGAAGGCAATCCAAAAACATTTCAACTAGAATGGAAGGGAGCAGAACCTAAAAGAGAATTTAAAAGGAAGACCTGTGGGGCATTAGGAGAGAAAGCAAAAAGAAAAAAAAACAAAATAAAGGTTCTGTGAAGCACTGCGCATAAATGCTAGGGTAATTAAAAAAAATAGATAGAAGCTTTCGCAGCAGGAATCATGATGTAACTAGAACAGCAGAGACGTGGTTAATGGATATAACAAAGGTTTCGAGATTTTCTGCTTGACCAACAGAAGACATTTATTCCAAAAGTGAGTAAATAGAAAGCTTCAAGGTAGTGGTCCAAATTGGTTTATTGATTTGAAAATTATAAGGGAAAGGAAAGTACTTCATAAGGAGATCAATAACAGGGTCAAGTTTTAAAAAATTCAGTGCTTTGAATTGGAAGTGCATGTAAACAATTAGTCGAGAGCAAGGGGTAACTGAATATTGCAAAGCCAACTAGAAATAAAAGATTCTTCGAGTAGTAACAACAGAACAAAATAGTTAAAGATGAAGTAAAAAGTCCCCCTGTGATCTTCTCTGTTCAAGGCTGAAAAGTTTCAGATGTATCTGCCCATCAGTGAAGGGCATTCCCTTGAGCCCCATAATGCATCTGGTTGCTCTTCTGCGGAATGCTTCCAGAGCAACAATATCTCTCTTATGTGGTGACCAAAACAATACTCTAGAAGGAGTCTTACTAGCACATTATATAATTACTCTAAAAGACATTGATTTACATTCAGTGGTTTTCTCAGATTTTCACATTTTCTGAGCAAAAACTTGAAATGGATTGTGGTTTTTGTCACCAATGTTGGTTTCTGATTTTGTAGCAATAAATTCTGGGGAGTCTCTGCAGTCTTTTTGTGAAGGACATGTACAAGTGATGTAGATTAGATTTTTTTTTTAGCTGGAAAAAAAGCTATTTTGTGCAATAGCAGTGGACTTCTCTTTTATAGCGCAGAATGTCACATTTGTTCCCAATCTATTAAATCCTTAGTTTATACACTCGTTTTAAGTGCAGTGGCAGTCCTGGCAATGAAATAAATTAGGACATATACCTCTGCACACTGTTATGTAGTACAATTTACAACACAGTAGCAACAATTTGTTGTTTTGAGTTCTTAATCAGAGGTTTGAGCATCCGGGACCTAATCATGATGATAAACATGAAAACACTAAAAACATGATATTTAAAAAGTTCTGTAATGAATATTGCAACAGTAAGTCTTTGTATATGCTTACAAATACATCATTGCCTTTGTATTGTAATGTTCAAGGGGGGTTATAGATGAGATCATGAGTACAAGCAAATTATGAGTGTTCCATAAATAAAACAATGCTCAGTAAAATTAAAATAAATAGGTAACAAAACATCTGCACAGCTCTAGGAATGCAGAATTCAATCTCTAATCTTATGTGATAATTTGGTAGTGCAGAAAAATATGGCAATTTATGAAATTGCAAGCACACAAAACACACAAACTATGCAAACAAAAATACCTAAAATACTCTACCCCATCTTTCACACTCAGTTGTTCACATTGACAAACCATTATGCACTGAGAGGCAGACGCAGAATTCTTTGTGGGGAAAAGCAGAGTGATTTCATAGGATAAATCTTCAACAGATAAGACCACACAGAAGACACTGTCTCATTGCAGAAATGCAACTAAATACGAGCATGATTAACGGAGTTTGAAGAAATATTTCTTCAGATGTGAAAAATACAGCTCCTTTCCTAAATGTATGAGTCCATTCGGGGCCCAATGCCTGCTAGGTTTTAGTTTGTCAATAAGGAGACCAAGTGGAGAAGATTGAACCGCACTGCAACTCGATGCTGATCACATGAACTAGGCTGGTCAGATCAGGAAAATTCTGGTCTTATAAGATGTTGAACATCTGGTGTCATCTCCATCAGCGGGGGGCTGCTTACTGTATCTGGTGAGATGAAAATAATCTGTGAAGTCAGTCAATAGTTTTTAGCCCGCTTTTTTAAAGATAATAACCAGCCTGCAGATTTGTGACTTTACCTATCAGATTAAGCAGTACCCTATTGGTGTGGTGTGTTTCAAATTCACATTTTTCTTTCAAGGCTGTGGAAAATTGCTAATAATAAGGGGTAGGTAAGCTTGTAGATGAATTTAGGTGACTATTCAGGGAAGTTGAGCAACTCTGGTTTGTGAGTTGAAATGGTTCACTTTTTGTGCTAGACTTCTTGTAACAGAACATGGATTGATATTCTGTATTTGGCACAGCTGAAAAGTTGAATTATATTTGCATTATATACATTTTAATTTGAGGAACCTGATTTGACATTGGTGTTTGTAGTATTTCAGGTTTGCCACATTACCACATTAGTACAATGGTGTTACTACTCTTGTAGGCATCCTCGTTTGTGATGGTGCACATGCAGTTTTCGGTAATGTATTCAAAGATCTAGTGGAGATCTCATTACATGCATTGGGCTGATTTATATTAGCTTTTCAAAGTTTGTAAAAGGTTGATAAAAATGTTTCTTATAGGCTTTAACTACTAGAAAAATGTTAGATGCTTAGCCACGTGGGTTTTCCCTGTCTTTTCCAGTTTCCTCCCACAGTCTAGTGACATACCATCTAGGATCATTGGTTTTTTCTAAGTTGTCCCCTGCATACAGGTGCCCTGAGGTGGACTACTGGCCCATCCAGTGTATGCCCTACCTCGTACCCATTGTCTGCTGTGTTAGGCTGCAGCTCACTATGACCCTGTAGTGGAATACATGGTTATTTTATGTCTGTTAGAGTAAGGGGATTTTGCTGGGTCAGCATGTTTTTGTTGTAGTAAAACCCTTTGTCTGTTCTGAACTGACTTGCATTAAGCCAAGACCTGAGTTTAGTTTAATATTTATTCCCAGGGTGCTGTCTGCATAGAGTTTGTATGTTCTCCCTGTGGCATTGTGGGTTTCCTCTAGGTGCTCCAGTTTTTCTCCCACAGTTCCAAGACATAGTGGTAGGTTAATTGGCTTCTGGGAAAAATTGGCCCGGGTGTGTGTGTGTCATGGGATGGAGTGGCGTCCAGTCCAGGGTATATCCTGCCTTAAGCCTTTTGATTGCTGAAATGGCAAGTTTAAATTAGACTGTATGCCTATAATTCCGGCTTTTAATTCCAGCTGTTGCAGAGAATGTAAAATAGATGTAAATGCGTTTATAAAAATGTGTGAACACTTTAGTTTTACCTCTATGACACTGTGGTGGTAGTATCTGACTGCTTAGCTGTAACATCATTTCCTGACCACAAACGCACTCTCATGACCACAGTCAGTTTCACATTTGACAGAATAATTGTTTTAAATGCTCAGAGTATGAAGATGTAGCATGAAGATGCTATACATCTTTGTTATTAAAATAAAGCATTAAAGTGCCTTTTGCATATTAAATAAGGAAGTTGAAGAATGTGGAAGTGATAGAGATTATGTTCACCTATTCTTTGAGTAACAATGGAAGCAAGAGAAAACTGGAAATGATTGACTTGGCATGAAAGAAGCTCTGCAATAATTAAATTATCGAACCCTTTCTGCAGGCGATTTCCTCCTAATGTGGTTAAATGTGTTTTTTTCTAGGCTGCTTTGCCCCTCTGTCTAGTGCCCCCAATGGCAGCCGACGTATATAACCCTGTAAGTAAGCTCTTCTTTGCCTTCACACACTTGCAAAACTTTAGTTTTAGAATTTCTGTAATATGTTTAGAAATGCCGCATTATCGAACATGCATTGGCAGTGGTCCTTAAAAATTATTTGTCTGTCGACAAACTCCTTGCCTGCTGCAGCACCTGTACAATTGCTGTGAAACAATTTAACTGGGTGGAGAAATTTGGCACTCTAATAAAATCAGAAAAGATATGGGGAAATGGTTAATTTCTCTGAACATAGGTGGACATTACTGGTGATTTATATATGGATTGCTTTGGCATCTCCACCTCTATATCATCAGTCTCTATTGACTGGTCAGAGGGTGTCCTGTATTATAAATTGGTTTCAGATAAAAACCAGGACTGCATACAGTTCTTCAGATTAATTGCATTAGAAGGGAAAGGCATCACATTATATCATGCTTCACCTCTTCTCAAGCTTTCTTCTCCTAAATGAAGGTGCTCCCCTGCTCATGCAAATGAAATAATTTATTATTTTGAGTATTGCGAAGCAACATATTTTTTTTTCTTTTTAAAAATCCACTTTACAATGAATTGAGTGACGCTGGTGGTGATGGCAAACAGAAATCGGTCTGTTTTTAGAATTTTGCATATTTGAGAACCACTGCATCAGATCTGTGGTGGGAAACAGGATGTTCCAGTAAGTTAATGTGCTGAGTATGTGGCTCATACTGAGTATATCTGAAGGTTTGTTTTCTTGTGCTCGAGCAAGCTGTCAGAGTGGGTCAGTGAGCACTGCAGCCTGTATTGTTGCAGTGTTTTTGCTGCCTTCCATTTCAAATCTATGTTCTGCCTTCTCTCAGGTTTCATTGCGCCACAAGTCCAGGAAGAAAAGTCGAGGTAAGAGGGGAACCAATGGGTTTGCTCAACTGTGGGTTTTGCTTGTACTCCTATCAGAGCTATAGCTCCAAGTGTCAGTCTGAAAGAGTTGTCACAGTGATTTCAGAAAAGAATCTAGTCCACTGATTTAATCTCATTTCTCCAGAGGTGTCTGGGCTGCAGGTGACATGTAATGTGGTTGGTGTGCATTTTTGTTTTGTAAATCTGAGCTTGTACAGCTTTTGCACTGGAACACATCCTCTCCAATTCAGCTTCTGTATAAGGAGGTTGTGATAGGTGAACCTTCGTGACAAGGGACTGTGGATCTATCTAGCACAGAACTGAGGTAGGGGATGATTGTTTTAAACAGGAAGGATTTTATCTCGGCTAGAAATGCATTGCAGAAAGGCATGTATGCAGGGATTTTCATATAAATGTAATTAAAAAATAATCCAGCTCATGGTAACCTAAAGTTCAGAATTTCAAACAGCAATAATGTTTAAAATTAGACTGTCTTTTTTAAAAGGGATATTGACTCCAAAAATGATATGTTTCTTTAAATTCCAGCTTTGTTTTGCTGTGAACTTGTCAGTTCTACTAACAGCCTTTATACAGAATGCGCTGGGTTGCTGTGTATTTTTAAAAATGCTGTAAATGAAAGTGTATTATAATCTTCTACGCAAAAAAGAGGAAGCTTTTGCGGTTTAGGCCCATTTTTGTAGCTTTCCTGATTGTTAGCTTTAAGTAATCTGTTTTGGCTCTGTTTTAAAGGAATTGACATGTATACAAACTGCGTCTGCAAGTGAACCCTGGGTCTGTTTCTCCTGTTTGTAGGGAATGTGACAACGATGAGCCGAAGGAGGATATCGGTCAAGGAATTGGGACAAGTGGACTGTCAGGGCTGGCTCTACAAGAAGAAGGAGGGAAAAGGATTTTTAGGAATGAAATGGAAAAAGTTTTGGTTTGTTCTGAAGAAGAGCTCACTGTACTGGTATACCAGCCAGATGGTGAGTAATCCTTTGCCTATCTTCACACAGCTGATTCAGTCAAACTGAAGTAACTCTCAAGGCACTCAATGAGTAGGAAGCTTGATGGGATTTATTTCACACCTTCAAATAAGTACAGTATTAGTAAGGGAAGAATGGCCGTGAAGTAGATTTTGTACCTTAATTTACTCAGATGAGTGAACTGTACTACACCATGTGCAAGGGAGTGAAATCAGGCGTTTGGCAGGTGTATGAAAGGCACACCAAAAAGATTGGATACAGACTAGTAAATTAATAGTCCTCCCACAAAGTTGTGCATGAGGGGAAAAAATTCCCCCAGGAGCACATAAACCCCCTAAAGCATGTCATGTTTTATGATAAATCATCAAGGATTTTGACATTTAACGTGGAAAACCATTGCGTATACAATTCATATATCTGCTAATTTTAAGAGAGAATTGAACTTTTCATCAATATATTTTCATTGAGAAAAACGTAAGGCATTACTGTCTTGGCAACCACTGGAGTTTGCAGCGTTTTCAAATCCTGAAGTGCCTATTGCTTTTGAAGTACACAACATATCCAAGAAGAGATTCAGAAAAAGGAAAATGGTGAAAGCATATGTTAAGTATACAAAGATTCGTGGCAGTTCTTCATTTTTAGAAAATCATAAAATGTTGCACACTGTGTTAACTTGTCAACCACTGTTGGGTAACAGATCTTATTTCCGTTTGTTTTTCTACATGGCTTAGATTACAAACATTCGGACGGAATACAGCGTTGTACATTCCTTTTTTGAACGCTTGTAGTGTAGCAGTGTACATATCTTTTGCGAGTTTCCTGTTGAACTGTAGCTTTAAAGTTTTTCTCTTCTTTTGATCTTTCCCATCACTCTTGCAACACAAGTTCACTGTGGTATGTGCTTGATTTCTAGCTGGCTTTTTTACATGTTTTGTAAAATATACTGATAGAAAACCTCTTTATTATTTTTTTTTTTTAAAGTAAGGCTGTATTTTTTTTTCTAGGCAGAAAAAGCTGAAGGGTACATACATTTGACAGACTTCATGATAGACCGAGCAACAGAATGCAAAAAGAAGTAGTAAGTGTTATGTTGTCTTTTGAATGTTTTCCCTTCACCTTGCAAGTTAGGCAATGTCTGAACTTTGAAATCTGGAATAAATCATTTGAAAGTCAACAAAACCATAGGAAATTTGACAACATTTCTCCCATAGCTGGAAAGTGTGTTGGACAGACAAGCCAGTAAGCTGGGGAAACAAAGCAATGTAGATCCTGTAAGAGTCATTCAGTCTTAATAGCTAACATGAGGCTCTTCTTTGCCCAGAGGCTTGTGGGGATATACAACATGCTACTAGGCCATGTTGTTGAAGCTGATATCCTGGTTTCTGTCAAGAAAGCCCTGGATGAGATCCTAGGATCAATTAGCTACGAACTACCAGACCAGCTAAATGGGCCAAATGTCTTCCTCTCCTTTGTAACTGTTGTGATGTCCTTACAGTGTATGCCTAGTATAGTAAGTCAATTCTTTGTAGGCTATACAGCTGACATCCCTACAGACTGTAGGGAAACGGAACAGTCTGTTTCCACTTGACTTTTATCCACATTCCTCATTGGTCATCAAGTACAGATCTTGGGATTGTGGTATATTGGAGATTGATGTTGCCATGATCCAAAATAGACTACGGCGTGGACTAGTGGTTAGGAGTCGAGACCAGAGGGTTGTGAGTTCAAATCATAGGCCAGATGCTGCTATTGAGCCTTTCGGCAAGGTACCGGACTCAACTTTCCTTTAATAAGCAGTATACCTTTCTGTATACAGTAGGTCTCCATTGAAAAAGTTGTTCTCAATTGACTTATCTGGTTCAATTAAGGATATGAAAACATTTATATCCTTAATTGGCACACCTGAAGAAGGCTCCACGGCCGAAACATTGTGTTTTTTCTCTCTTCTTTTTTTCAGCATGGAATAAATCTATTACTTGTTCCTTTGCAGCCTTGCATGCTGAAGCAGCTACCCACCTGAACTTAAAACATTTATGTACAGTACAGTGGAAAAAGTACACCCTCTTAAGATTTTATGGTTTAACATACTGTATTTAGACATATTTGACCTTCACACGACCTCATTTGACAAATGCCACATAAAAATTCTGCTTTGTCATTATTATAATCAGCCAGAAGTGCCCCCCTTGATTCGCAAACGTATTGTTGCTAAACGGTGTGCCACAACTTGAAGTAAACATCGTTTTGTAAGACACTCTCTCACATTGCCTCTGGGAGGAATACTGGCGTGCTCTTCCTTGCAGAACTGCTTCACCTGTGTGGTATTTGAGGTCAGTCTTGTATGCACAGCTCTCTTTCGGTCCCGCCACAGCATCTCTATGGGATTTATGTGCAATTTTCTACTTGGCCATTTCAAAACCCCGAATGTCTTCTTTTTGAGCCATCCAGCCGTAGGCTTGCTTGTGTGTTTTCAGATCATTGTCCTGTTGCATGATCCACTTTCAGTTCAGTTTCAGCTGTCGTACAGATGGCCTCACATTAACGATAAACTCAAAGACAGCAAAGCGTCCACATCCTGGGGTAGGAAAGCAGAAAACCACCACCAGCGTGCTTGATGGGTGGTAGGCAAGGTTTCATTTGTTTTGCCGGACATCAAGTTTTGCATTATGGCCCAATAACTCATGTCCAGAGGGCATTTTTTTCCTCCTGGCTATCCTTCCATGAAAGCCATTCTTATTCAGTCTTTCCCTGATGGCGGACTCGAGAACTCTGACATTTACAATAGCGAGAGAGGCCTGTAGTTCCCAGGTGATAACCTGGGGTTCTGTGAGACTTCTAGGAGCTTCATACGGTCTGATCTTGAGAGAGCTTGTTAGACAGCCACTGCTGGAATTCTCTCCATTTCCATCTCATTGTGGAACGATGGACTTCACATTGTTTGTAAATGGCTTTGTAACTCGTCCCAGACTATTAAGCAGCAACAGTTGTTTTTCTCAGACTGTCACAGATTTTGTTTTGATCTGCGCATGATGTGTTACCACAAACCCGAGTGCCAAACTGACAAGGTTTTTGATTTTTCACTATACACAAGTGGAAATAATTTCCCCATGATCAGCTAATCATTTGCACATCTTTTGGTGCTCCTGATTCTACATACCCTCTTAATTGACATGGTAGAATTAAGGGTGCACTTACTCATTGAGTGCTCTCAGATTTTTTTTCACAAATGAAGAAGTAGAATTTTTATATTTTATCACATTACATTAGTCATTATGGTGATTAGTAAGCAGGAAGGGCCGCATCACGTCACAATTCGTGGGAACTTACAATACTTTCCCAAAGTTCATGATTTTGTGCCTAATTTGCAATTGGTCATTTTTTTCTAGAACATCAATGAATTTATTTTGTTACTGACATTTAATAATCAGTCTGAGTAATTGGGACTACAGTTCCCTTTTAAACCCTAAAATCTTGAGGGGTGTATACTTACAGTGCCTTGCGAAAGTATTCGGCCCCCTTGAACTTTTCAACCTTTTGCCACATTTCAGGCTTCAAACATAAAGATATAAATTTTTTATTTTA